TAGAACTTCGTACGTAAGTACATCAGTTCATGTTGCCATGCCACATCAGCACAGAGATGTAATTGTCAATTCAAATCCAATAGTAGAAGAGGTTGTAAAGGTACTTCTAATAAAGTAATCGGAGAGTTTAGGATTAGAAGATATTATTCAAGAAGTATGATTCAGTGAGATAAGTTTAGAAAGTCAAAACCAGAAGGGTTGAAGAATCCAGAAGATTAGGATTTGAGAGAACACAAAGAATAAATGCACTGGCGCCATTGCGAACGATTTTGAGCCATGTCATTCAAGGTCTCTAACCATCGATTATTATCATCTCGCGGACCCCAACCAGGTAGTCGACAACTATCGACATTGCGAACCACCTAATTTATAAAAATCTTTAACCACTGAATCCTATTTATTTATGCATAAATAAGTGCGCTGAATTAAATCGATAGATTAAAAACCATATACCCTATGCGTGTAAGTGTACCATCAGTAGTGTTCAGCTGTCAAATTAGTTTAATACCTTTCCATTTTTAAATTTCAGTAGCACAGACTCTTTTCAATTGTTTATTTTAGCACCTCAATGGAATCATGTAGCTTTCATGATTATGCAACAATTAGCTAATGGTATGGCAAACAATCCAGGCTGTGTTGTATCATCCACTCCGAATACAATGATTGATAATATTACACCATCGATTAATGATGGTGGTAATACAATGGTAGATCAATCACGTCTTGCTGCTGGAGCATTTGCTTTCTTTCAAGCTCAACAACAATTAATGAATGCTGCACAACACCAACAACAACAACGTCATACTACTGCTGCTCTTAACAGTGGTGGTGGTGCCGCCGGTGGTGGTGGTAACGTTGTATCAAATAATAATTCTTCTAATTGTATTATTGCTCCAAGTATTACTTCATCAACAGCTTTAGTTGCACCATTCACATCTAGTGTTGTTACTAATTCATCTAATTATTTTGGAGGTTTGTATTCGTCTGGTTCAGTTGTTGCTGGTTTAAATCCTGGCAATTTTTCAATACCGAATGTAAGCATCTTTTTTTCTCTGTGTGTGTGTGTGTATGCGTGTGCTGTTGTAATAATTTACACTGCTGAAAATTTAAGTTTTCTTTTCTGTTGATTATTTGTTTCGGACTTCATGTTTGCGTGTATATATTCGCTAGTTTTATTTTATTTTATAGGGAATCAATTTACTACCACCGGTTGGTCTTTTACACTCGGAAACAAGCGGTAGTCCTAATTCAGTTGCTGGAGATGTATCGAGTTACAATCGTATGCCTGTTTCGCAACCACCTGGAGCTTTAGCAGTTAGTCTGCATATTTCGCCAACATCAACAGGACTTCAACGACCTCCTTTACCTGTTTCAACTGGGTTTTCATCATCCACCCCGTATGCATTCAATTTCGACGGTAAGTTTTAACCTAGTGGTTTGGTTTATGCTTTTGGTTTGTTTCTGGTATTTTTCAATTTCATTCACCATCCTAAAGTTGAGCACTTTTAGTGCAGTTCATTGAAAAGCACAATAGCACTCACTAATGAATGTAATCTCCTCTATCTCTTTGTACGAATGTTAAAGTTCACGTCGACGTCATAACGTATGCCAAATCACCGCCTACGTTAACACGTGATATTTCCTGGTGTTGAAATAATTTGGAAAAATACTATTAGCAGCCAAACTAAGATGTGACATCAGTTACTGAGGTTATTGACTATTAGGCTGAGCCATACTGTTCGGTACAGGCTTCCAGGCTAGGGCTCTTGTAATTATCGTATTCATTGGTTGGAATGACATGACTCACCATCGTGAGTAGTATCAGAAGAGTAGTTACCTTTTGATTTCCTTCAGATCTCAAATTTTGAAAGTGTACCGTACCTTTAATTCTACACATTTATTCTTTCTTATTGAATCACATCTTGTATGTTCAGTCGCTTTTACCGCAATTTACTCTGTTACTACTTCTGCTTCACTTTTGTTTAGTTTGATAATCTTATATGGGTATGCTGATATGATTTCGCAGCTTGACCCGTATATGTGTATGCCAGGTTCTGCGTTACACATAATCAACCACCGACTGGCATCACTACAATATGCTGCATATTGTTATTTGTGTACCTCGTAGAAAATATTAGAAATCTATATTTAGTTTTCAATATTGTTTGTTTAAATGTGATCATTTTTCAATATTTGACTTTGTTTCAGCGCAGTACGGATTATATTTCGTTGATATACTCTACATTGAGATACCTATTTAAGCTAGCGCACAGTTGTGCCAGACTTAACTAATGGGTCACTTTGTATAAACCCCATCTATCCACTCATTTTAGTTCTTATCAATCAGGAATAGCTGTTAGCATTATACATGTACCTACACGTCTTTCGAATGTTGCATAAATATGACCTAAATCTAGGTCTGTTCAACGAAAATTTGTAGGGCTTTGATGAAAACTTTTTCTATTAGCTAGCTAATGCTGGATGTTGATCATTTGTTTTACAGCATCGATGCATAAAAATCGTGCTTTTGCTGCCGCGTTTGCTGCTGCATCAGGTGTGGCTGTTACTGCTACCCCTCCGCCTGGCATGGGTCCCAACCCTAACCTTCGACCCACTGGAGTGAACCATCCGGCCCTCTTAGGAAGTAGGGCTCCAGTTCCACCACCCCTTATGCCTGTAGTTACTGGTCGTGGTCCTGGTCTACTATCTGCCGTACATTCTCAAACTGTTCAACACAGTCCAAATTATGCTGCCGCTCTTCAATCACACCAAAATATCAACCAGCGACTTCCAGCTCCTTTACTTTCGCCACTTCCTTTGACTTTATCTGGTACTGCTTCTTCAAGGCCTAGTTCGGTTGTTGGTAAGTTTGATGAAAAGGCATGTAACAACTTTATAGTAATTTACTAAATTTTAAAGCCCATCAGTGTTAATTGTTGTATATTAGCATCTTAAATATCTTTTGCGTTGCACTCGATACTCGTATTTATATTAATTTTAGGTGTAAACATCACAGCACCTGCTCCACTGGTTGTCACCACTGTGTCTAGCCGAAGTCAACTGTTAGAAGATTTTCGAAATTCAAGTGCACGGTTTCAGCACATGCATCTATCAGAGTTACGTGATCATATGGTTGAATTTGCTCGTGACCAACATGGATCTCGATTTATACAACAGAAGCTAGAGACTGCTACGACCGCTGAGAAGAATTCAGTTTTCAATGAAATACTACCACATTCGGGAAAACTAATGACTGATGTATTTGGGAACTATGTGATACAAAAGTTTTTCGAATTTGGAACAAAAGAGCAAAAAGAAGTAAGATTCACTGTTTTGTTGTTCATTATTCAGTAGTTAAGTGTTAAATTCGTTGTTCCAACAGAAATTTTGTCAGTGATTTGATGAAATGTCGTTTAGTGATTAAAAATATCTCTGATGGGCTTGAATCGTTTTTAACTTACTCTTACAGTTTGACCATCGCTAGATGTCAAAACTATATGACTCGAAACCGAACATTGTCGGTTGTCGTGCTTCAATTACAATTTGTTCCGTCGGAAACTTCATAATTATGAATAGTTAGGAGTCTTTGAATGCAAACGAGACTCATATAAATTCGAAGGATAGATAGGGCACACACATCACTACAGCGTTAAAGCTCTACGCACCAAATAAAAATAAAGGGAGTTGGAATTTCAGTACAGTTCTATGTTCTGGACATAAGTCAAAAATTGAAATAGAATAACTCTGTTTACATAGTAACACCCAATGATGACCTTGGGGCTCAACTAAATTAGCAAACTATAAATAACAGTCAGTCAAATAGCAACAAAGGTCGTTGCAGGAGTATGAATTTGAAAAATGTTATCGAGACTATTCTTTGTTAAATGAGAAACTTATATTCATTAATAAAAACCAGATAACCTTTGATTACCTCAACGAACTTTTAAACCTGAACTTGGCTACCGAGTGCAACATTGAACTTACCAGGAAGCACCTACAAGATAGTTACTTTTATTATAGTATAAATACTATTCAAGATGATAATCAGATCCTAATCATAGCTTTTTTCTTATTGTAGCTCCTCTCTCAGCGTCTACAAGGTCATGTTGTCGAATTTGCTACTCAAATGTATGGTTGTCGTGTTATACAAAAAGCATTAGAATCTGTACCAGCCGATGCAAAAATACATATAGTTAGTGAGCTAAGACCATTTGTGACACGGTGTGTAAAAGATCAGAATGGAAATCATGTTATTCAAAAATGTATTGAATGTGTTCCACCGTCAGAGCTTGATTTTATCATTTCAGCTTTTCGTGGTCAAGTATGTTTTCTACTCTTTTTAATTCTGGTTTTTTTCTTATGCATTTTATAACACAGAAAAGGTTTTTTATTTGGTATACTTCTTACCTTGACGACTAGCCTACCTACCTACCTATTCAAACTAATCTCAAAGATGTTTGAGGTGTGTTTCTCATCCCTTATATCTACTGTGTTGCTGAAAGGCTGATTTCAGTCAACTCTCATTGTGACTATAAGGAAGTGAAGTAGTAAAGAGAGTTGACCACTTTACCTTTTCGAATTTATATTCACCATACTGTTAACAGTCTGACAAATCGAAATGATATACATTTTTGGCAGATTGTGCGTTGATATACATTTTTGGCAGATTGTGCGTTGACTATTACGAACTTACTAACAGGATTTCATAAGATGTGTCTTCAAGTCGCATGTAAACACTGAGTTCTAGGCTTGTGGAGTTTCACAGAGCTTTTCTTCGTGCCTATACTCATCACAGGGTTTCGAACTGCTGACGAACCTTTTCTTAAGAAATATCTTCAGTAAAGTTGTTTTGAAATTTTCTCAAGGAATGCATTCTAAAATTATGTGGTTCTTTAAGTAGGACATCGTTTAGTGCTATAATGATCGTAATACTTTGTGAACAAAGCAGAATTCATGTCATTACCGAGATGTAAGCTATTGTTATAATCTGTGTAGTTAATCAGATTAGGATGTATTAGTGGCATTTTAATTAAAAGTCAACTGTTTCAATGCAATTCTTTGATCCACAACTCTAAATTGGGAATGTGTCACTATTTCTCAACTAATGGGTATAGGTAGACCTTGTTTCATCATGTCACATTGACGTGAAAAATGAAATTCCCTAATATCCGATGAGATACCATGATTTTCAAAGGACAGTGACTTGATAGCTTCCGTTGTCATATGTTTCAATCTATTTTACATGTAAATATTTGCCGAATATGGTCTGTGTTTTTGACCTTGGAGTATGTATCATGTCAGTCAGTCAGATGCAACGTAGAACTTTGTACATAAGTACATCAGTTCATGTTGCCATACCACATCAGCACAGAGAAGTAATCGTCAATTTAAATCCAATAGTAGAAGAGGTAGTAAGGGAATTAGAAGTAGACGGAGAGGTTGGGATTAGAAGATATTATTCAAGAAGTATCATTCAGTGAAAAAAGATTACAGAGTCGAACGTAGAGGGGTTGAAGAATCCAGAAGATTAGCATTTGAGAGAACACAGAGAATAAATGCACCGGCGCCATTGCGAAAGATTTTGAGCCATGTCATTCATGGTCTCTAACCATCGATTATTATCATCTCGCGGACCCCAACCAGGTAGTCGACAATTACCGACATGGCTCAGTCCACTAGTCAATGACTTCATGGATTTCTGCCATGTAGAATTGCTTAGTCTATTGTCCCACTCACCTATTAAATTTTGCCTACTTGTGTTCTCCCTTGGCGGTCAATGTTGTGAGAGATTTTAGAACTTGAATAATAAAGCGCTTATATACCTTGATCAAAGCACCCAAAAAATGCATTCTTCATTTCGTCTACATACATATCCTCCGACTATGGATGAAGCATTGGTTTTATGAGAAAAATCTCTTATCATTATCATTTGACTATCGATTTTTCCTTGTTTATACCCCTTGTTTGTTAAGGTGGTTTTACTTTCATCACATCCCTATGGTTGTCGAGTTATTCAGCGTATTTTGGAACATTGTCTACCTGAACAAACACGTCCGATTCTTGATGAATTACACAAAGGTGTGGAACATTTAGTCAAAGATCAGTATGGTAATTATGTGATTCAAGTAAGACTTTCATCGTCAGTCATTTACTATTTCTTAACTATGTTGTCCGTTTATTTTTTCGTGTTGACCCCTTGGTCAATATTTAAAGTGTAGTTATTAATGTAGTTCTCAAACGTAGTATTTGGAAGTCAATTTATACCACCAGATTACTCATGATAATTAACTGCTCTATTTCATATTTGTTAAAATTATTGTTAGAATATTCACCAAATATCCTGTGAAGAATCATTTTATGTCACTATCACGTACTTCAATGTTGTTTCTTATTGGTTGTCCTGACTATCAATGTCACTTCGTATTTTTTTCCTATTGGTCGCCTTAACTGTCAATGGTCACAGACTTCGATGCTGTTTCTTATCCGACCTAAATGTATAAATACGTATTATCTGTAACGTTTTATGACCCGGACCTGGATCCCTAGTCTGGGATCCTGATTCTCTTCTGGACTCGGACCTCGTACTTTCTGGATGTTTGTAGAATACACATTCTACTTCATATCGAGTCTTCTTCTTTCATTCAGTGAGGGTTTGGGACACTCGGATTAGAATAGCATGTCGTGCCTCCAGACCACTGATCCTCGCTCTCGTTTTCCGACTAAGGTAAACTCGTAATAGTTCAAGCATATCATGCTTAACAATTATCTACATTTACCTTACCACAGAAAACACTATGTAAATATAATGAACTTAAACATCATATAGACTTTTTCCAACTTAAATAATGAGCGCTAGATTTTTCTCTAGCGCAACGACATAGACACCTAGAACTCTTGTAAATTAATTTTTATAATGGTGATGAATAAATATCATGGTAGCTTTCAATGTGAAAGTGATGTTTGGTGACTATTAGTTTCCTAATAAATGTCACTGTTAATTTTTATGGATATAAAAAATTCTTTGTAGTAAAAGACAGGATGGTATAATAAACAAAAAAAGTTAATTTTGAGCATACACTTCTATACACTTTGTTCTGTCGTTTCTTAATGTTTGTTTACTATCATGATTACTGTGTTCTATTGGTTTACACATCATATCCGTTTTACGATTTCTAAGTGTGTTCCTAAGTTATTTTTATTGTATCCAATACAGGCTTTTTGTGTTTCTTATTCTTTAAATGTTGTTTTTGCAGTTCAACATTTAATTCAAATTAATTTCCTCATTTTCCCTAATTATCTATTTGTATCATGATAATTGTTAAGTTTAAGTGTTATAATCCTTTTATGATTGAATAGTTTCCTTCTTCATAATGAACATGAAAGCCTTACACAAACCTGCGTCAACGCGAGTGGTTTACTAACCAAACGACTGAGTAAAGTGCTCAGCAGTTCGCTTCGTCCTACTTTATGGCTGCGAAACAGGGCCGGTAAGAGTAGAAAATATTCGTAGGATATTAGTATTCGATTATGGATGTCTTCGAAGCATTGCTCGTATATCTTGGGACAACCGAGTAAACAATGCTAACGTTAGGAAATGAGTACTAGGTAAGGATGGCAGATCAATAGATGAAGTATTGAAACTTCATCATTTTAGGTGGTTGGGACATGTGGTACGTATACCCAACCAACGACTGCCTCAACGAGCAATGTTTTGTGGTGTAGGAATAGGTTGGAAGGAAACCAGGAGCAGCCAAACCAAAACATGGCATACATCCATGAAGTCACTGACAAGTGGACTGAATCATGTTGGTAGATGTAGGCTACCTGGTTGGGGTCCGCGAGACGAAAGTCACCAGTGATTAGAGACCTTGAACGACATGGCTCAGAATCGTTTGCAATGGCGCAGGTGCATCCACTCTTTGTGTTCTATGAAATTCTAATCTTCTGAATTCCTCATAATCTCTATCTTTCTCCTTCTAAATTTATCTCACTGAATTATACTTCTCGAATCATATCTTCGAACCCTAATCTTTTCCATTACTGCTAATTCTTCTACTATCTCTATCACTATGTGGTTTAAAGAGACAATTGCGTCTATGTGCTAATGTGTTATGGCAACCTGAACTGATGTACGCACGTACGAAGTTCTACGTTGTAACTGACTGACTAAGTGATTGATTCTGTCAGTTGTTCAGTTTGTTTTTTTATGTGAGAAACTATTTTGTTCATTTCTAAAAAGTAGCGTAGTGTGTCTGGCATCTATCAAAAAGTAGATTTTCATTACGGAGATAGTACATAGTCTTGTTTATTGAAAGCGCTGATGGCATACTGAGTCATTAATAACAATCGAAGTATGTTAAGGATGGGCTTCTCTCATTCTAAATGCGAAATGTTGCTTCAGGATCAGCTCGCATCATTTCCCAGATTGTTCATAGGAAATGAAGCAGTCGAGTGTGCTGACCACTTTGCTGCTTTTGAATCTCTTATCAATTCTGGTGTCTTGGTGTCTCGACGAAGTCTTGGCTTAGATTCAACTAAACTCCATTGGCTTTTTCTAACTTGTCTCACTTATAGCATAAGCAAGATGTTTATCTTCCAACCACTAAGCAAGTGAGTACTTACACTGCCATCCTCTCTGTATTGCTCTGTAGCCGAATAACATGATTAGACAGACAGATACAACACAGAACTTCGTACATAAGTACATCAGTTCAGGTTGCCATACCACAGCACAGAGATATAACTGTCAGTTCAAATCCAATAGTGATAGCGACAGCAGAATTATTAGCAGTAATGGAGAAGATTAGAGAGCGAAGATATGATTCGAGAAGAATAATTCAGTACGATAAATTTAGAAGGAGTAAGGTAGAGATTATGAGGAATTCAGAGGTTTATAATTAAAAAGCACACAAAGAGTGGATGCACCTGCGCCATTGCAAACGATTCTGAGCCATGTCGGTGACTTTGAATAACATGATTATGAAGGTTTTAAATTATTGTCTGCGTATTGTGCATGACGCAATCGAACGGGAATAGATTCTTCAATAAGGATGGGAAATCGAATAATTAGATTGTAAGTCTTTATCGAATGACGTTGTGTTTCTGCGCGGATCTCCAACCGGCCACTTACATCAACCTACAATGTTGAATGGAATAAGAGCAATATGAAAAAATAGCTCGAAAGGGACACAACATGATGTGACACTATCTCATAAAGTCATTGAATGTTGGTCATGTTGTGATCCAAGCGATAACTTCGATCGGTCACAATAACACGAAGTTTGCATATAGATTTTTTATTCCTCTAAATTACTAAGTTCCAACATTCTGACGATTATCCTGTCGTTTTTGAAATTTTGTTAATTTTATTTCACTGTGATGTTGTTGTATGGTCAACTCACATTTTTACCAGTCTTCATGCATTATGACTAACTACACTAACTAACTATAGTGTATCATTAGTTTTGAAACTTCTCAATTCCCATTATTATTATTTCAACTGATCATAGAACAGTTAATAAGACTATTAATTATAATCGAAATCATGAAGTGACGATTGTCCGACTACCACTGGAAGCATTGGATAGCCGTTTCGTCCATTTTGATGCTTGTGGCATTTACCCACCGATGATGATTGTTAGTGGTCTCACAATATCGTGGATTAATTGAAGTTGGACATTAACACCGTTGGATACTGGATCAGTGATCAAGAGGTTAAGCGTTTACGAGCGAGCGAGACCGTAGGTCCTCGGCTCTGGTTTCGTCCTCGGAATCGTAGATGAGCACTGCTGAGTCCTATACTAGGACGCAAGGGTTGTCCAATGCTTTCAGTTTTCCAATGGTGGTTTAACATTGATCGGTTCAACAATTTCTACAACCCCATACTGTGATAATTCATTATTAACAGAGTCACTTATTTATTTATCATCATCTATGTATATGTGCATTTTTGTCTATTTAATAACAGCATGTTTTAGAGCATGGTTCAAACGAGGACAAATCACGTATTATTCAAAGTCTACGTGGTCGAGTATGTGCTTTAAGTTCGCATAAATTTGCATCGAATGTTATGGAGAAAGCAATTGCCAATGCTGCACCATCTGAACGAGCTATACTAATTGAAGAAATTTTACATCCAATCTCTAATGTGAATAATAATAATAATAATAGTAATATGAATGGAGATGCTTCAACAGCAACCAGTAATAACAATAATAATAATAATACTAGCAACAACAACAACAGCAGTATCTCTTCATCTTTAGTTGATATGATGAAAGATCAATATGCAAATTATGTTGTACAACGTATGCTAGAATTAGCTGATAATGAACAACGTCGTGTATTAATTAATAGAATACGTCCAATGCAAAATGTACTGCGTAAATTTAATTATGGTAAGCATATTATAGCTAAATTGGAAAAATACAATAATGTAACTGGAAGTAATAATTCCACCGGGAAAGGTTCACCTGCCAACAATAACAGTAATGGTAATAATAGTAATACAACTAGTAATAATAATAATAATTTGTCGGCCTCGAACAATAATTCTTCCACCAATCATGTTTCTTCTAAAACTTCTAATCATAATAGTAGTAGTAGTAATACTAATGGGAATAGTAACAATAATAATGGTAGTTGTAATAACATCGGTAATAGTAGTAGTAGTAGTAGTAATAATACTAGTGGAACGCCATCAGTCAATAAGTCATCTGGTTCGAACTCTGAGAGTAATGGTACGACAGCATTACAACAGAATGATTCTTCTACGAGCTCCACCAACACCACCACGTCGACAACAACTACAACTTCAACAACACACAAATCATCAAACGACAAATCTAATCATCGTACTTAGATAGAGTTTGATGATTACTGCAGCAATACTAATACTTAAATAATGATTTGGTTGGTTTATACCAACCACAGTGAAACAAACAAGTAAACTGCAACATTGTTTATTATGAATTTCTTATTAATTTTGCCCATATTCCACAAATATATATATACTAGTAGTAGTTGTAGTAGTAGTCTATAGTTTTGTCTCTTCACACACACACATTTATATATATACATACATCGTTTGTGAATTGTAGTGTAATGATCAGTTTTGAATTTCCCTTCTTCAACAACAACAACAACCAGTAGTCGTTCGACCTATGTTGTTGTGTTATGTAATGTAATGTAATGTTGTATACTCCAAAATAGCTTTCTTTTTTTTATTGTAAAAAATGCAACCAACAACTACACCAATACATACACGTCTTGCTTCTTGTCATATAAATTTAACGACTACTATATGCTTTGATTACATACATGTTTACGATTGCTTTGAACGCCTAAACCCTAAGCCTCCTACTTACTTCACTATCATCATCAGCAACAACCCTTTTTTTCTTCTTGATATTGTTCCTTGTTCTTATCTCTCTCTCTCTCTCTCTCTGTGTAATAAATACAACTGTGCTTCATAGATTAATTGTAGCTTGTTCATCATCTACCCCCTGAATTCTTGTTTATTTATTGATTTGATTGATTGATTGATTGATTTATCTATGTTTGATTGTAAATGTCTCTTGACGCCGCCGGACTACATTCGAATTGATCTGTGTGTGTGTGTGAGGGAGTGAGTGAGTGAGAGTGTAAGTAACACGTATGTGTAGTTTCATTGTGATATGAACAAAGCATTATTATTATTATTATTATCCTATTACTCTTAGTCTTTGGTTCATGATGTAAGCTTTTGATTCAATGTATTGTTTATTCATATTCATCTATTCTATGCACATAGTTAAGAATATCACCCTTTGTATCTACCTGCATACATGCATACATACATATACATATATATATATATATATAGGTGTAAATTTTGTTATCACAACTAGTCCCTTCTCCGTGTTTTTTGTCTCATCAAACTCCTCTATCTATCTATATATACATAACTATTGTGGTTTGGTTTATCCAACTTGAAATATACAACACATATATATATGTACAGTGTTTATTATTCAACTTCTTGGGGGGGGGGGTATTCGAATTCCGTCGAATCACACAACACGACAACACATCACACTAACCCTGTTGTATGTAATTATATTAATTATATTTCCAAAATAATAAAGAATTGTGTGTGTGTGTGTGTGTATAATGAATGTATATTATTTGATCAATTTCTTTTTTTTTATTTTCTCCACTCTCTTTTCGGATCCTTATGTGTGTGTGTGTGTGTATACGAATTTTGGTCTGGTCAAATACTTATTATTACTTATTATTTAATCTACACCTTCTTTTCCAAAATATATCTCATCTTGAAATAAACAATTGCATTCATTCATTCATTGTTCCAAACTGTACACTATTTATAATTCATTTGTTTTGTGCAAGAAGACCTTATACTACTTACTTACTTACTTACATATATTTGGTTTGTGTATACGTTTCTCATTGTTATAATGTGTGTATGTATATTGTTGTATTACTCTTGTCTTGTTAGCAGTGTCTGTCGTGTTTAATAAAATCCATTCTAAAAATTGTCATTTACACTTACTTACTTACTTACAACAAACAGTTTAACATCTCTTTTGTTTATCCTTGTCATTAATGTGTGTATTATTCTTCATTTATCAATATATATATATATATATATATATATATATATATGAAAAGTTTATGTTGAATGCTTTCCACAAATCCATTGTAGAAAAAGTGAATGAGTGAGTGATAGGTGTTTGAGCAAGCAAGTTTACATTTCTGCATTGTATTTATTATTATTATTACTATTATTTAAAAGTTGTACTTGTGTATTTGTGTGTGTGTGTATGTATGTATATTTTGTTCGGATGAATATAGTTAACACAATTCTTATTAACAACAACTAACTGCTTGTTCTTTCTTTTTTTTTTCCTATTTGCTACACACTTTGAAAAGTTGATTCTTTTTTTAAAAATAAAATCTTATCCAGTAGTACTAGTAATAGTAGTAGTAATAGTAGTGATTCATAGACAGCAGCTAGTTTCTTTACAAGTTTCAATGACAGTCTCTTATTTCTTTCCTCTCTCTCTCTCTCTCCCTGTCTGTCTCCCTGTCTGTCTCAAATTACATATTATACTCACAATCTCTGTTTCATATATCTATACATCTTATTATATACATAATTGTTCAATTTGTCTCTGTTCATCTGTAATCGTAATTCTCTTTTTTCGTCCGTTTGTTTGTTTGTTTATTGGAATTTGATTCTTCTTTAGTAGAGTAGTGTAGTGTGATGTGTCAACTAAGATTGGAAAAAAATATCTTCTCTCTCTCTCTATATATATATATATATTATTGGAAAAAATTTAAACTATATCTAATCAATCCCATGTTTTGTTGTTTGTTTTTTTGGCTGCATTGTCATGGGATTTTGTAAATTATCTCGTGTACTCATAAATATATATATACATATATATAAATATATTATAATGCAACTAAATATTATCATATTAATTAATTCAGTTTTATTTGTTGTTTGTTAATTTTCCTTTATTTATTAATTGACGTTGAACGTACTGAAACTAGTTAATTGCTTGTTGAATTCTAGTTGTCTACTCACTACCGTAACTGCTATCTTGACATGGTAGTTGGGTTTGCCTAGCGTGATGATTCAATCGAGTTGTATTAGCTGGTACATATGCTAGAGAGGTTGATTGGAGAATTGTGAGACTAAAGGGTGAAGTCGTACTGCTAACTGTAGATAGGTATGATAGCAGTAAGGTGTTTCTCTTGGACACGCAGCATCTGCAGTGATGCTGTCTATGAGAGTTTGATAGTGGTTAGTTGAATGTATCTGTACATATTACAATTGATGTCTGTAACATCAATAGAGATATTCAAGCAACCAATACAAATAAACTGAAACTTGAAAATCATGTGATCATAAAGTTGTCAGTCATTTGTTGACCATTGATTGAGTAATAGCTGTTATCATTCTCGAGTAGTGCTGATGGCAAAAATCAAACATCTATGTGTAAAACATTGGATCGTATCTTCGATGCTTTCTGTTACCGCTAATACCGTTACTACCTCCACTACACTGAGATTTTCCCTAACAATTTCATCTCGTTGTATGTACTCTTACTACGTTGTGACTGGTTGTATGCAATAATATAGCTTGATTGCTTCAAAAAGCTTCTATTGGGATGCTTAGGATGGCATTAATTAAGATGATATTTTCATTAAATCAAATCCAACAGTAGTTATCTAGGAAATAAATGAAGCCATTATCTATAATAGTCTCCATGTTTAAAGTAATCTTTCATTGATACTAATAGACCTCTGCAACTGATACTTCTCTTTATGGATTATAATTTGTGATTAGTTTTTTTTTCATCAACTTGTAATATACTCATAGTCATTAACATAAAGCTTGGCACACATGCACTTGTTGCAAATTTGTTATACCATCACATTACCACGATGAGATTAATAGCTAAATACATCGGAACATTAGTAGGAATGTTAATTAAAAAGAATAAGCATTGAAAAAAACTGGTGGAGAAAGTCTATCTCAGGTGGATGATTGTGATGGAGTTCCGTTTTCCTTGAGCTCGATCAAGATGGAGGTGAACAGAACGAGCTACTAGTCATATATAGAGGAATTCGAATACGTCACTTATGCCTCAGGCTTGTGCTGATGATGTTCAATCAGTCAGTTACAAAGTAGGACTTTGTACGCATGTACATCAGTTCAGGTTGCCATAACACATTAGCACAGAGACTCAATAGTCAGTTCAAATCCCACAATAGTACAGATATTAGAAGTATTAGCGACAATGAAGAAGATTGGGGTCCCAAGAAGTATAATTCAGTGAGATAATTTTAGAAAGAAAAAGGTAGAGGTAATGGGGAATTCACAAGTTTAGAATTTGAGATAAAACAACAAGTGGATGCGCCTGCGCCATTGTAAATGATTTTGAGCCATGTCATTCAAGGTCTGTAACCATCGATTGGTATCATCTCGCGAACTCCAACCAGGTAGTCTACACCTAACAATATGGCTCAGTCCACTTGTCAGTGACTTAATGGATCTGTCCCATGTTTTGGTTTGACCGCCCCTTGCTTTCTTCCAACCTACTCCTACACAACAAAACATAGTTCGTCGAGGCAATCAGTGGTTAGGCATGATTATGTTCGGAAGAACAATCGAAGTTCCATAACCAAAACATCTGGTTCAGTGAACGAAACTTCATCACAAGCTTGAAAAGATCAAACAGAAACGACAGAATAATTGGTTTGTGCGATAAAGCGTAGGTGATTTTACACAATTGCTATCAAATCTCAATATCATCCAAAGTGTTCAATCAACCATTAAGCGAATTAGTACATATTTTTATTTTCTAAATTGTTTCAAATCATAATTAATCGTTTATTTATTTTTTTGAAGGGTAAGAAGGATTTGATTTTGATCAATTTGGTCTCGTGTTGTTACGGGTATGAAGGCGGTTGTCACTGCCCAGCTGCTCACAAAGTGGATAGTTGTTACCTGAAGGACCAGAAAAAGAAGGTAGATTAGTGTTGGTCTTAGAGACCTGGGAGTGTGACCGCAGAGCCCAGAGGACAGCTGCTTGAGGTCAGTCACGCACGTCCTTTTGATGAACGGTTTTTTTTAGTATTAGCGCTCTTAAAAGCCCTTAGTCGGCACCCGTACTGCCGGAGACGGAAATCCGTGAGGTAGGGTGAGGTGTGACATTTTTAGGGTCGACCTTTTCTAACCCTCCCTTCCTTGTGAGAAGGCAACATCGCTGCAGATGCTGGTTGTCCGAGGGAAACACCTTACTGCTGTCACACCCCTCTGCAGTCAGCAGTACGACTTCGCCCTCAGAC